TTCTTTGGTCAATGCTACAACAATTTACTACTACCAGCTTACACGGTGTTTTCACGTTGACTGGGTCTGAAACTACATCTCGATTTTCTGTCATTAAACATTGATCTGTGTACGACATCGCAGAAGTTCTAGAGACCGCAATCTTGCATCAAGATTAACACGTCTTATATATTAATGAATTGGAATTGTATTATTGTAGTGGTAGTTGCACTACAAGCCAAACAAACTCCTCGTAGCATTTATTTCATATATAATTTTAAGTTGTATATAAAATGATAAATATTTACTTTAAATGTTTATGTACAAAAAAAACTATAAAATCTTATATTTCTGAAAATTCTCTAAAAGCTTTTATATTGTATAATTTTAAATTACATATTTTGTATTATTTATAACTACATTTTAGATAGTGACAAGTGACATAAAAGTATTATGTCAATAATACTGTGATATAATGTGACAAAAAGTGTTATATCACTCTCTATTTAATAGAGAGAAAACTAATGTATTAGAAAACAAAAATCCCTTTGTTATATTCAGTTTTGCTTCTCAAAACACGTCTTGAGATACACTAAAAAGAGGATTTTTTCACCATAATCCTTACTCTATGCATTAACTTCTCGCAATTCGAATCTAAGTCTTCTATTAATTGAAATAACCTATCAATAATGTATACGCAACGCATTTAAACATTTTTATACCTGAAATATAGTAACAAAGTTTTTTTTATACGTTATTCAGAATTGTTTTACTTCGTGTCGTGTTATTTTTAAAAAGACATCGTTTGCAGATATATTAAAATGCTTCAAAGAAAACTTCCCAGAAATGTAACATATTTTAAGCCAGTAGGATGATTTATTGACCATTTTTGAAAAAGTATGGAAATGATTTGTTTTATGGTTATTCCCAAATGAATGATTTAAATATCATATATTATGGTTTTATTAATCAGAATTTTTTTTACCAGAAATATTACTACCACACAGTACGGTTTACCAGATATTTTTTATATGTGTACGTATAAACTTCAAAATAGCTATTTTTATAAAAATTTAAAGAGTTATCGGATATTATAATGGAGAAAGTATGCTTTAATTTTTTAAACTAACAAAAAACAATAATTAATAAAGGCATTGTTTTTTTATTGGCCTACACTGCCAGAATTTTCTGATCAAATTTCGGTATAAAGTACCGGCACTTCGAAGTGTATCATCCGAAAAAATTTTTTCACCGCAAGATACATTTTTACCGTAAAGTATTATACCAATCTTGCATCANCGTTTGCAGATAGATTAAAATGCTTCAAAGAAAACTTCCCAGAAATGTAACATATTTTAAGCCAGTAGGATTATTTATTAACCATTTTTGAAAAAGTATGGAAATGATTTGTTTTATGGTTATTCCCAAATGAATGATTTAAATATCATATATTATGGTTTTATTAATCAGAATTTTTTTTACCAGAAATATTACTACCACACAGTACGGTTTACCAGATATTTTTTATATGTGTACGTATAAACTTTAAAATAGCTATTTTTATAAAAATTTAAAGAGTTATCGGATATTATAATGGAGAATACATGCTTTAATTTTTTAAACTAACAAAAAACAATAATTAATAAAGACATTGTTTTTTTATTGGCCTACACTGCCAAAAATTTCAGATCAAATTACGGTATAAAGTACCGGCACTTTGAAGTGCATCATCCGAAAAAAAATTTTCACCGCAAGATACATTTTTACCGTAAAGTATTATACCTTTTTTGTACTGTATTTATTTCATTTGAGTGATTCAGTGAATGTACGGTAATTATTACTGCAAAAATTATGGTATATCAGATTCTTTGTTCCGTAACACTTTCCGGTAAAAATGGATTTTAAGGTATATCGGCACGTGCTAGGCACTTTTTACCGTAATTTGATGCGATATTTTTTATAGTTTTTTTTATTCCTAATTTATAAGTGAAATCAATAGTTTCATAAAAAAAGAGGTCGCTATTATTAACGCTTAACGAAAAAATTAAACCCTAAAACCATTCATTTTTAAGACCCTTGTAATATTTCCTATAATAGCTGGATATTTTTTCATAACTTTTCGTGTCTTCCTTTAACTGACTATCAAGCATAACATAACGTTTCTTTCATACGATTTAAAATTTCCAATAAATAAATTTTCTCTCTATAAACAAACATGGCTGGAAATTTTAAGATAATTTTCTCATTTGTTTCCCTGGTAACAAAACGTTTATTTATATTTTAATCTACCCCATTTAAATATTTTTTAGCTTCAATAAAGGCTCATAAAGCCATTTATGAACTTCAATAAAAAAAATTCGCAGAAAAACCCATTATTTGCTTAATTAAATAAACGAGAGTATTTTGCTGGTATAAAAAAGAAAAAGAAAACACAAAAGGTTTCAATACAGTTAGAATCCCAAATTCACTAAACTTTATCTTAACTTAAAACAAAAAACTCAAGAATATCTAGAGACAGTTTATGAAATCTATTTACACAAAGAAATCTATTACATTTTCTATGCATTCTAATCTAATTTTTAAAAAAATTTATTATTGATCAATATTTAACATTATATTATGTTATACCATTTTCATTTAAATACACTTAGTGAAAGAATTATACAAAACTATTTGTACACGTAATTTAAACAACAGTAGTTATTTCATTTCTTTATCAACTATCTTTGAAAATAAAATTAAAAGTATTTCATTCCATTTAGAGAACCCTTCTCAAAGTTTGATGTAATGAAATAAAATTTAAAAACAAGTAAACAAAAAGATTAAGAAACATTAATATTACAAAATCATTCAAATGCATAGTGATAACTTACTATCGTTAATATTTTGACATTATTTCACTTTATTGTGTTCATTTATTTTATATATTTTTATTTTATAACCGTTTTAAAAAGCAGACACAATTGTGCGTTTACGACTATCAATATTCAACTCCGTAGTCTTGTAATTTTTAACAAAACGTAGAAGACAAGGAAACTCCTGGATCAAGCATTGGGACAAGTTAGCCTTCAGGGAGGAATTTTTTAAGGAAACCCGCATTTGCGTTTAATGGAGAGGAAAAACACGAAAATATCCCACTGTAAGCTTGATGGCAAGGGTATTCTACCGTCTCCCACCGAAGATATTTTTACATTATCCCTGTGATCTGTATGAGCCGGGAGTAGAATTCGTGTCAACCAGCCACCGCTGGGTTCGGACCTGGTTCTATAAGGATGAGAAAATTCTTTTTCCCTGAGCCACTGCAGCATAATGTATTTTTATGTGTTATATTTTCAGTTTAACAAATGAAATCTATCAACTAAAATTTACCGCGTTAATAAATATTCACTTCTCGAATAATTTTGATGAGCTTGTTTAAGTAAAATATTAATTTTTTTCTTTTGTAATTAAGTTTCAAATTACACGCCTCGCTTATAAGAGGAATTTTTTTTAATACTCTTGACTAAGATTTTAGCTGAATTTGATAAAATATTCTGTATAGCAATATATAATTAAGACAATAAAAATTTATTTTATAATACTTCTTTAGAAAAATAGGGACTAATAATCAGAACCAAAATTAACTTATCAGTTTCGATAGCATCACTAAAATTTAATATTTCGGTATCATATGCAAGAGGAAAAATAAACGAATATGCCTTTCACGTTATTTACGAAAAGATTTTTCTTCACCCTGATAAAACCAAAATAATTTTAAAACGTTCAAAAAGTAGTTTTCTCTATAAACTTATGACACATCTTTTTTAATATTTTATCTTACGTAGTACTCAAATCAAGCTGTATTTCAAATTCTCTGTTGGCAACAACTATTAACACTGTTGCGACCAATCACGAAATTTACTGTTTCTAATGACGAATATGCTACACTTGATTTACATGATGCTTTTGAGGTATTTCATTCAAATAAAAATGACGCCAGTATCTGTGCGTATCAAAAAGAAAGAGGGAAATGCTTCTGTAATTTAAAGATGCAGCAATTGATTCTTGGTAACATCATTACGCAGATTCGTTCATTATTAAAAATATTATTCGATTAATTTTAAAAATAAGTCAGTTAAAAATAAAAGCATAAATTAATATTGATCTTTCATGTATGGCGTTAAGTTGGGAGAGTTAATTTAAAAGGCACACCCTGATATCACAAATTAAACAGCATATAAAGAAATATAAAAATCAATAAAATATAAAAATTAATAAAATTTAAAAAGAAAATGCATAAAATTACCTAATTACTTGGTGGAATTATCTATCAATCAACACGAATAAAAACAGTAACACGACTTAAAAGTTTCTTCCTATGAAACTTTTTATATATATAT